GCCTTCTGCTGCGGCGGTCGGGCCCCAGGGAGCTGAATCTACCTAGGTCGATTGAAGTCGACCAACTTCAAGAAGAAGATTCCAACTGCCTTGAAGTCAGTTGAGAGTTTACCTCTGAGCAGGGCAATCTGATTCAGCCCTCGCATTCCACTTCTGGAATGCTTCGCTCTTCCCTTTACAAACGATTTCACACTTGGTGCTTGTTACTGTTCGCAGTGCCGTGAGCACTGGGCTGTTTTCCTGGCCAGCTCCTGGGTGGCTCTACAGGAATACCCTGTCACCAGCAGCAACAGCACCTTTAACTGTTTGAACAGTTAGAAGGGATATAATAAATTAGTTTAAGCCATGGTGATACGCTTTATAACACAAGAGGATGCTCACCTTGTGCTTGTCTTCTCAGGCATGCTCTGTGTGAAGAATTCCGAGCGTGGCTTTCTGCTGTGACCCAGATTGAGCTGGAGCCAACTATTGACATCTCCTGCGCTAAATACAAATATACCGGTCAGTCTGTCAGTGATCCTTTCCCCAAAGCTTCTGTGGGGGCATAGGGAATGGCATGTCTACAGAAACCTGATTATGTAACCAGCCCCAACCCCTTTCCAGTTCCAGAGGGTCCTAAGAGCTATCAACAGCATATCAAAGCCTCCATAAATTGAGTACAAATCAGGGCAAAACTGTTTCTGTCGTTCTGATGCTGATGGCTTTAACTGGGCCCAGGCTGTTGCAAGTGCCCCACCTTTTCAGAGATGTTCAGCCCATGTTTGCATGCCTGCTTCCGTGCAAAAGGGTGACGTGTTCAGCTTCCAAATGCTGCAGTCGGGTTTGTGAAGTCTGATGCTGAAATGTTGCCTCGGTGAGTCCAGGTTACAACTGCACCCACCTTTTTAGTCATGAAAAATCACTGTAGGAAGGAGAAAATTTTTTATTGCAGTCCACTCTATTTTTTTAAGGTCTTGCACAACCAATTGGACCAGCTTTTCTGTTCCCAGGCATCCCCATCCCCTCTAGTCAAGAGTTTCTGTCAGTCAGGAATCTCTGTCCACTGTGCCCAGGAGAGCCATGGAGGGGTGGATGACGAGTCATAACTGCCCGTACCTTCGGAGTGGGCTAATCTGCCAACTGCAGTGCAATCCCACAGAAGTTAATCTTGGGCTGGTGATGCTGACGAGTGAAAATGCAGCTGTTGGAAAAGGCGTGTTTTTTCTTGTTGTACCCTCGAGGGGACAAAGCTGGGAAGCAGTCATTGGAATGAATCACGCGTGTACTGGAAAGGCGCTGCTGCAGCAAAACGTGTGTAATTGCAGATGTCTTGCTGTGCCATGACGATGAGCTGGAAGGTCGGAGAATTGCTTTCATCCTGTACCTCGTCCCACCCTGGGAGAAAAGCGACGGGGGCACGCTGGACCTGTACAGCACAGATGGTAAGAGCAGGGAGCTCAGCCTGAGGTGGCTGAAAAAGATGAAGCTTAGGTGCCCCTTGCAGCAACTCTCTCCTCAAATAATACAAGGAAGACTGAGTTTCCCCTTAGTAGCTGACGTAGATGTAAAATATGCACCTCAGAGATGGGCTGAGCAGTCAGTCCTTGCAGACAGTGCTAATGGGCAACAGGAGAGAAATGGAAAAGATGCAGCACAGGGGAATCCTTCTTCCCCACCCCCAGTATTTTGCAAGGGCCGTGAGTGGAGGCAGGATGGAAGCAATGCCAGTAACTGAGTTTGGAACCCTAAACTGATAGAGATAGCTTCCCTTTCCAGCAGCAGAAGTCCACCGATTCCTCATCAAGCCCTAAGCTCCATCCCTTATACCCGAGCGTCTCACCAGTCGCACGGTCATGAAGTCAGAAACGGCAGTTTCTAGTGAGTTCCCGTTCATATCTTAACTGGAGTGTGTTTTCTTCCTCTTCAGAACACTTTCAGCCACAGCAAATCGTCAAGTCATTAGTGCCTTCGTGGAACACGCTGGTTTGCTTTGAAGTGTCTCCAGTCTCTTTCCACCAGGCAAGGAGCTGTCCTTTGCTCATTTTCAGATTCTCATTGTTGTGGTTCTTCGTGCTTTGTGTTATTGCAGTCCTGACGGGGAGGGAGAAGGGAAGGGGAGAAGCGTGGGTCGAACGGATACTCATGCCCAGCGCTGCGTGTTACAGGCAGAGCTTCAGGGACTTCAAGAAGAGCAAGAACTGACAAAACCAACTTTAAACTGTCGGTCTAGCTGCATCCTCTGGAAAAGAGGAAACTTCCATTTCTGTTTTGTCGTGCTGTCCTGGCGGGCCACTGCCTCAGACTTGGCTGTGGTGACCAGAGATTGTGGTTGGCTTGCTTGTTTCAAACTGGCTCACGTTTTTCATGCAGATGCCATGACTTCGCCCCAGAACAGCTCCTCGGCACATCATCTCGCGGCCAGGGTGCTACGCAGATATGGCTTCTGTAACTCAGGCGTAGTGTGGTGCCCTGCAGCTGATGTGGTTAAGTAGCACTTGATGGTACTTACCAGGAATATGGCTGGAAACGGGGCGAATAATCTGTGGAACTGCATGGTACAAACATCTGGCTGAAATGTGAAACTCCTGTGAGAATACCACAGGCTGTAATAAACAGGGCCAAAGAGCAGAAGGTTGGGGAGGAGGAAGATCGGTGATCTAGGTCAGGCATGTTCTCACCTAGACAGCTTAGGGTTTCACTTTTCTGTTATTTATGTCTTTTAATTAATTAACAGAGGCATCTACTTGGTCACCGCCCTCATTGTTTCCAGGTAGTGATTTAATCTTGTCATAAAAATTGATGTTCCATTTAGCTTTGTGACTGCCTCCTGCTGACCTAAGCTGAATAGCACTACACAGAGTCTGACACTGTTAACACTGGCAACAAACTCACCTTAAATCATAAACTTTTAAAATAAGCATTAAGCTTGACCGGGAGTGCTGTGAATCATAGCCTCCCAGATCTGGGCATCCCTCGTTGTGCCCTGAGCATTTGCTGAAGCGCTGATCCTTTCAGCAGTACAGTGTAGAGCCTCCGTTAGAGGACTGCGTGAGGGTCAGGCTGATCCGAAGCCTTCGGAGCACATGTCAGCCTTGAAGGCAAAGCCCCTCGGATACTGAGCAAAGAGTGTTTAGTCAGTACTTCCTAATACACCTTCAGGTTTTGGACTTCATGGCGGGCACTCCTTCGGGAGACGCCAAATAATACTGTGGGTGTTCACCAAGCAGAGCGAATCCGTGAGCTTCCAACAGCCGGCAGTTCTCTGGTTTCCATTTTCCAGGTGATTTTGGATTCTGTAGCCATTCCAACCTAGAACACTTTCAAGTATGTAAGGAAAGGGCCACTACAGCTCTGTGACAATTAATAAAAGCCAACCCCTTTTCAGAACAGACTGTGAGACTGTGCTTCTTCCTCCTGTTCCATCAGATTATTCTAAAAAACAAACAAAAAACCCCAGCACAGCCAAAAAATCACCATCTGTGGCTAATAACCAGTCGTCAGGGGATGGCTTTCTCTTCACACTGCCATTACAGTACAGCACCCTGGAATGTGAAGTTGTTCAATTTAGCCCTATTTACCTCAGCATGCAATTTGATGAAATAGAGATTTAACGGTGTCCATCACTGCGAAAGCCAAGGCTTTCCACCGACGGAATTAAATGCCAGGATAGAGGGCTTGCTCTTAGTCTGACACAGAGGTAGACCTTTAATCCAGAGCCGAGGGTGTCAGGCAAACGCCCTTCGTGACGGCTATGTTACAGCACTAACTACAAATGGAAAGACAGGAGTAGACCGATGCTGTCAGCTGTGGCCCAGAGATGCTCAGGGTTTTCTGAGTTTCCAGTTGAAGCCATAACAGCTAATTTTTGCAGCCTGTGATAGCTGGTTCTTCAACAGAACGAATGGTAGAACACTAAAATACCATTACTTTTAATAACAAGAATGCTCAAAGCTCTCAGAGGGAATGGATTCTGCTGGGAGCTTGGATTAAAAGCTTGGACTGGGGATTCTGGAAACCTACAATGGACTTGAGCATCGAAGTTTGCTTTAAGCCCTCTTCCTGTAAGCCAAGAGTAACCCCGTCTGGTCTGGCCCTCGTCTGACTCCTCTGTGTATGCAGTAGGCTCTGGAGTCAGGTCCATTTCCTGCAACGAGTCTTCGTGGTGCCTGTTATAGCCTGTCCTTAGATAA